CATGATGACAGCCATGGACTACCACGCTTTTCTCTTCACAAAGCCAACAAGGCAGTAGTGGGAGCAATAATGGCAACATGTGTAGCATATATTGCTTCAGCACAGTTCGGAAAGTTTCATTTGTCTTAATGTCCATCAGTAACCTCAATGAAGGCTTCACAACGTGGAAATCTGATGTGATTGTTGGACATCCTCTGCAGACGTCATGGACGCAGATGCACACTCTTGACCTGGTTATTCCAAACACGTTACCGATAGTTCGGAACTGTTGTGACCAAGATGTACACAGCTTTTGCATCGCGAGCGAAGTTCAGTGGTCAAGGCTTCTCTAATTTCTTGGGGGCGATATATACTCTTACAAATAACATGGGATACTTTACATTTTTAAAATTGTAAGAGTTTCCAGTAATAGTTGTATGTTGATGATGAACAAATTAGGAACACATTACATCCGCGTGTGAAGTAGGACAGTAGATGTTATGACCGCCATATTGGTTAAGATAGGACATTTCAAAGTATTTGGATCAGCAGTGCGAAATTCCACCAGTACCAACAATCATCCATTCGATCAGGTATACCACGTATGAGTGTCCGACTCCTCTTGTGGCGCCTTTCCAAGATCAGCTAACGTGGTCGGGGGCCTATGTCGTTGACGCACACGTCTCTCTTTCATGTCCCAAAGGTGATCAACGGGGAGAGGCCTGGGCCCATTGCAAGCCTCGGCATTATGTGAATGTTAAGCTGCTGGAGTGAGTGAGTGAGTATGGTTTTACGCCGCTTTTAGCAATATTCCAGCAGTATCACAGCGGGGGACACCAGAAATGGGTTTCACACATTGTACCCATGTCGGGAATCGAACCCGGGACTCCGGCGTGACGAGCGAACGCTTGAACCACTGGGCTACCCCACCGCCCGTTAAGCTGCTGGAGGTGAGCATTGACGATTCGTGCATGGTGAGCACGACCTTTGTCGTCGACCCACGCCTTTCAAACGCGACAACAAAGAGGGACACAACGTCATCCCAATAGTACAGTCCAGTGACCATTCCTTGCACAATATCGAGTGGGGTTTGCGCAGTCATAGTGATACCATCCCACTCCACAACCGATCCATCACCAAATCTTTCATGAGGTCTCAGGTTGACATTGGCTTGAGGTTCATTTCGATGTCGCCAGACACGACCATGCTTATCAAGGAAGAGACGATTACCCCAATGTCGACGTGGTGTTGGCAATATGACGCTTTGTCAGGGGCGGCACAACACTTGGCCTCCGAGTATGGAGATGCGCTGCGCTTTGATTCGCCGTTTGGGCTCGATTACGTAGAACCTGGTTTTGGATCAATCGGTCCTGTTCAGTTGTCGTCAACATTGTGGGTTTGTTAGTACCTGCTTCGTAATTTGCCAAAGACTATGAAACATTGTACGTATTGGCCACTGCACGCCGACTTTTGCCAGTTTCCAGCATGTCAGCATACCTTTCTCAATATCCCATAGACGCTCCGCGCTTTGCAGACACCGCATCGCCAGTTCTTACAAAAACAATGAACGAAGCCGTGTAGATCACAACTCAAGATACGATTGACATGATAAGGTGTTCAGTGAGACAGCGGTTTTAGGTGTTGAATAGGATGTAATGGTCCGCAGAGGTAAATCGACCTAAACCTATATTCAGGACTCGGATTCTCGGATATATCCACTTGTTCACGACACTAAATGGCTGAAATAATGACGATGCGACGTTAACATTTTAATTCACTCACTCACTCATGTAACCTCATCATTCACCAGCGTTCACAAATATGTGACCCGCCAAGAGAAAAGGGGCCTTCTTGGCTGAGACCCGTTCTGTTCTTTTCAGTGTATCCCGCTAACCATCAGGTACATTTATTATGTTGAATTGCTGAACCGTTGACATTAGTACATGTACAACATATAAACCGCAGTTTTGTGTCTCGAATTAATGAGGGAAGACGCCATACTCGCATATTCTCGCTGCGTTGTTCCCCTTAAGCCATTGCAGGGACAAATGATACATGCTTGAAGAATAAACATGGTGTTCAGAGAAGCAGCGGGTCTAGGTGTTCAGTGAGACAGCGGTTCTATGTGTTCAGTGAGACAGCGGTTTCAGGTGTTCAGTGAGACAGCGGTTCTAGGTGTTCAGTGAGACAGCGGTTCTAGGTGTTCAATGAGACAGCGGTTCTAGGTGTTCAGTGAGACAGCGGTTCTAGGTGTTCAATGAGACAGCGGTTCTAGGTGTTCAATGAGACAGCGGTTCTAGGTGTTCAATAAGACAGCCGTTCTAGGTGTTCAATGAGACAGCGGTTCTAGGTGTTCAGTGAGACAGCGGTTCTAGGTGTTCAATGAGACAGCGGTTCTAGGTGTTCAGTGAGACAGCGGTTCTAGGTGTTCAGTGAGACAGCGGTTCTAGGTGTTCAGTGAGACAGCGGTTCCAGGTGTTCAGTGAGACAGCGGTTTCAGGTGTTCAGTGAGACAGCGGTTCTAGGTGTTCAGTGAGACAGCGGTTCTAGGTGTTCAATGAGACAGCGGTTCTAGGTGTTCAATGAGACAGCGGTTCTAGGTGTTCAGTGAGACAGCGGTTCCAGGTGTGCAGTGAGACAGCGGTTCTAGGTGTTCAATGAGACAGCGGTTCTAGATGTTCAGTGAAACAGCGACTCTAGGTGTTCAGTGAGACAGCGGTTCTAGGTGTTCAATGAGACAGCAGTTCTAGGTGTTCAGTGAGACAGCGGTTCTAGGTGTTCAGTGAGACAGCGGTTCTAGGTGTTCAGTGAGACAGCGGTTCCAGGTGTTCAGTGAGACAGCGGTTTCAGGTGTTCAGTGAGACAGCGGTTCTAGGTGTTCAGTGAGACAGCGGTTCTAGGTGTTCAGTGAGACAGCGGTTCTAGGTGTTCAGTGAGACAGCGGTTCTAGGTGTTCAGTGAGACAGCGGTTCTAGGTGTTCAGTGAGACAGCGGTTCCAGGTGTTCAGTGAGACAGCGGTTTCAGGTGTTCAGTGAGACAGCGGTTCTAGGTGTTCAGTGAGACAGCGGTTCTAGGTGTTCAATGAGACAGCGGTTCTAGGTGTTCAGTGAGACAGCGGTTCTAGGTGTTCAGTGAGACAGCGGTTCTAGGTGTTCAGTGAGACAGCGGTTCTAGGTGTTCAGTGAGACAGCGGTTCCAGGTGTTCAGTGAGACAGCGGTTTCAGGTGTTCAGTGAGACAGCGGTTCTAGGTGTTCAGTGAGACAGCGGTTCTAGGTGTTCAATGAGACAGCGGTTCTAGGTGTTCAGTGAGACAGCGGTTCTAGGTGTTCAGTGAGACAGCGGTTCTAGGTGTTCAGTGAGACAGCGGTTCTAGGTGTTCAATGAGACAGCGGTAAGGGTAACAACAAGTATCATCATTTAACGTCTTTTGGTTTGCCTCGGCCGGGGATCGAACCCGTACCTTTAGCTCTTCGGGAGAACGCTCTTCCACTAGACCACGGAGAGGGTCACCATTGTTGAGCCACATCAATGATTATCCTATGTTTGACTGTGATGCGTCATTCAAATGTGTGCCATGTACGTGTTTCCTGTCGTAATAAAACAAATTCATGCCAACAGGCAGGTATTGGTAATCCTTTTGATAAGTTCATTCCCCTCCGAAACAGTCGGTTTGATGTTATAAGCGTTATGGTTCGGGTGGCCCAGTCGTCTAACGCGCCGCAGTGCGCTGTGCAAAGTTGCGTCCCTGTGGTGCACCAGAAACTTATGATCGTGCGTTCGAATCTCGGTTCGCTCCGATTATGTTTCCAGGTTTGTCACGCCATACCCGTGTTCGTGGGCTTCACCAAAGTGGTTCCCCACATTACGTTAACAAGCCGTGATATAACTGTAACTGTCTGAGGGCCTTGGACTTCAAATTCCGCCAACCAGATGTTTTCATGTTTCATTTTTTATATTATATATAGCATATGTAAGCCATTACTCAGCAATTTTTGTTCAAAGTGCAATTTTCAACCTCGTTTTGACCTTTGCGTTTTGTCCATACTCTCAAACGTTTTGCTTTGCATTTTCAAGACTTAGAAAGTTGAATTTGTGTCCTCATTTGTTGGCGTTCTTACATACAATAGAAAAAGTCGGATGTCTTTGACACCATACCCGTGATCAAATATAATCGCAACAACCCATGCCAGTGAACAAAATCAATAAATGCACACACCAATTTAATACCGCCTCGATCCGTGCCTTGACTGAGCGTGACAATCTGCAGCATTGTAAACAAGTAAACAACAAATGATGTTAATGTGAGCAAAACGAGCAAACACACGCTCGTGTCATGTGTCGTTTTGGCGAGCTGTTTCTGTTCGTGATTGTTGTGTGGTTGTCAATGTAAACAGGAGGTCCAAACTAAGTCAATACTTAGGTGGTTTAATGGGTGTTAGTCGGGTTATGAGTAACTAGTCTGTAAGATGGTAGTCAGGAGTACAAGGAATACAATCAGGGGAATGATACTGCTGTAGTGCGCTGGTTATATTAAAGTGAGTGAGTATGGTCTTACGCCGCTTTTAGCAATATTCCAGCAATATCACGGCGGGGACACCAGAAATGGGCTTCACACATTGTACCCATGTCGGGAATCGAACTCGGGTCTTCAGCGTGGCGAGCGAACGCTTTAACCACTAGGCTACCCGACCGCCCCGGTTATATAAGAGGGAATGTGTGGTTATATAATATGTAATGTGTGGTTATATAAGACATAACACAATAACAACTTTGCGCGTCCTTTAGCTGTGTCATGCTAGAAGCCTGTGCTATTGATTTGAATCCGAATCACCCGAATTAGCATTCTAGATTTGTTGGCTTTTCCATTGACGTGCGCACCTGTGAGCATAAACCGTTCATAACACACACACAAATGACATCTGACGGCTATCCTGCTCTGCATGCTCCGCTGGTTGTGATATCCGCCCATCTGCCGTGGCGAGGCAGAATCTTGTACAAGGAAATAGTGTCTTCTCAAGTCGCAGCAACTGAAACACACCAGCTATTCATGCGGGACACAACAAGAGACACACACAGCGCGGTAGTCTGTTCTGTCTGATGACACGGTTATATAAACTGAACTGTGTGGTGGGAGGGACGTTCGTTAAAAGCTATGTTTAACACATACGTATGTCAGGGGATGATGCATTAACGCTGACGGTATGAACTGGGTGGTTGTACTTTCTGTAACCGGCGGAGCTCTCATACTAATCGGGGGCGGTTTGTGCTACCATGGAATTGGTTGGTTTCTGTATGAGCACAGTGGGGTGTGTGAATATACAAGAAGTTGCATCTTCCTCACCTCGGTCGGTAAGTGTCAGTGACTATGATAACGTACTACGTAGATGCGTGAAGACATGCAACTTGTATCGATAACAACTTCTTTCAAATTTCAATTGTAACGACGTTTCAGGGGTACAAGTTGACCCTCCATTGGGAGACGCCGCGATTCGCTGTGCAGAGTTGCGTCCCTTAGGCACGCTAGAAACCTGTGATTTTGGGTTCGAATCCCTGTTCGCCCAGGTTATGTTTCTAGGTTCGTCAGTACCATACCCGTGCTCGTGGGTTTCACCGAAGTGGTAAACGTCGGAGACCTGAATCACTTCGGGCTTTCCTCCCACATTAAGCTGACGCGCCGCTATATAACTGGAATACTGTTAAAAGCGGCGTTAAACCCAACTCACTCACTCACTCCATTGGGCGAATATTGAGTAAGTTTTTTTAGTTAATATATTAACGCAATTATTATTACAATTCATCTGTCATACCTACTCCTCAAACAGTTCGTTTTAGTCGAGCGGACAAGGAGTTCAAACACTTTCTTGCGTTGGGCTTTGTACAGGCTAGTGTTGATATCATATGAATTTCACAGTGAATGTTTAGCTTAGTGATTAGTAGTTGTTCTCAAGACCTATATTCCGTTGTGTTTACATTTGAAATTTGCACTTTGAACATGGTCCTAAAATCTCAAAAATGAATTCCACCATAACGTAAAAATCACCTCCTCAAAAACCGGTGGACTAATGAAGTTGAGCCTTCTCATACGTGTCCCCACCTGCATCGACGTCGCCTGAATACGTTAAGGAGTTTGAAATATGATGTTTAATATGTACGCCATTGAGGCCAAATTGATAAAGCTATAAGTTGCCATTCATCAGTCAATTATTTTGCTAATATAACGTATGTATAACGCAGTTTTATGTAAATACTGAGAGATTTTAAGAGCCAAAAAATCGGATCAACATGATTAGTGATGTTCTTAAACCAAATGTGTTGCCAAAGATATGTTTGTGCGGTTGATTGTATTTAAACATAGTTTATTCACAAAAAGGAGTTAAGACATGTACAAGAGGAGGGAGAGAGAGAGAGAGATTCCTCTTTCTGTTGTTGTTGTTTAACGCCGCACTCAGCAATATTCCAGCTATACGACGGCGGTCTGTAAATGATCGAGTTTGGACCACAGACCAAGGTGATTGACATCATGAGTATCGATCCACGCAATTGGGAAACGATGACGTGCATCAACCAAGTCAGCGAGCCTGCTTCTAGTGAAATAAGGTTTTGAAGCAGTGGCTGAACGTTAATCGCTAGCTCCCATGTATTACTTGATATTGGTCTTCTCTTAAGAGATCCTGATGGGGCTGCTGATGCTGGTGACATCATACGTATTCCTCCATGCTGCAAGTCTCTCGCCAGCTAGGCGCCATTCTTTAAAAACACTCTGCGAACAGTACATCTTTCGAAAGAATCAGGTGAAAACTGTAACAAAAGCAAGACAAACGTTCTACCAGATACTGCAATGCACACAATCATGGCAAGAATCAACTTTGAGAGATATACTTGAGAGTTGTTCGAATACAATCTACGGTAGGGAGCACAACTTCTCAAATATCAAGACCATATCGGAATTTCGGAGTCAACATAAATTAACAGTGCATGAAAACTACTATCCCTATGTCAAGATGGCTCTTGAAGGAAAATGTGACCTTCTCTTCCCTGGCATTGTAGACTTTTTAACAGTCACATCTGGTACAACTTCGGGCAAGAGCAAGACCATTCCCAGAAACAGAAGACAGTTTGTCAAGACGGTTATTCTTGCAGGACAAGCGGCACGAGCAGCAATGTTACGTATCCCTGGTCTGCACACGCTGAAGCTGTGCCATGATGTGAGGATGGTGGAAGCGCCAAAGACAATACGCCCAGGAGTGCTAACAGGTCCTGCCTCCTCCATTGACTATCCCTTGAGCGCCTTTGCGGTGAGTCCACTTGCTGTCTACAAGATAGATACGGAGGAAAACTGTATCTACATCCATGCATTCTTTGGCCTTAAAGAACAGGATATAAACAGCATGGAATTTCTTACCTCAAGCATTGCCCTCAGCTTCTTTCGTGTCATCGAGGAGAATGTGGAACGGTTATGTGAAGAAATTGAACATGGGACTTTATCCAGAAAGCTAAATCTACATGATGATGTACGCGAGGAGTTACAAGCACAGATACACCCGGACCCTGAACAAGCAGACTTTGTGAGGAAGACGTTGAGGAATGGATGTGAGAACATTGTACAGAGGTTGTGGCCATCATGTGTCATGCTGAAGTATACTTCGACAGGATCTTTTCAACATGCCGTAAGTATCATACTATGTCCTCCAATAACAAACGTAACTTTTACACATTATAATGAGTCACGAGTTATCAAGACAAATACATTAAGCAGATTAATTTAGACTAACAATAACATAAAATGACGAATGCAGTTTCACAAATTGTAGTCAAGTTGTAACATCCTTGCAGAATCATATTTACTTTTGCATGAATATTTCTCAATGCGTCGTTTTTTATTAAGCAGGGTGGTGAATGCTACTTTAAGATACTGGTTACATATTCATATTCAGCACAACCCCATCAACTGATAGTCGTTAATCTAGAGACCACGTGTACGGACGATAATTATCAGGAACGTCTGTATCAAAACGCCAGAGCGACGTAACAATTTATTTGTTAATGAGGATTATACTCCGATCGGTACCGTCAGAAATAAAACTGGTTTCCCAAAAGAATAAAAGTAAATTTGATCATGTTCAATTTTGTCACATGACTTAATGCACGTGTATCAACGGCCCTCATTTGCCCTTAAACATCTCTAGATTTCTGGTGTTTAAAACTAACGTTATATTTTATTGGAAATTAGTTTAAAATCAAATCTGCAATAAGGGTAGCCGTAAAGAGAACATCCATGAACAGACGAGATTATAGTTACATCGGTCACATTGTGTTATCCGTTCCGGTGCGCGATTATCCGAAATTCAATGCAGCAATGCATATGATTTAGATTCAAGTTTCTAAATTTATATCCTTCAGTTTACTCACATGGCTAAACAAATCCACAAGTTTAATTGTTGCGCCGTGAGCGTTGCCTTTGTTCTGTGGAGGTTTTTTCTGTCGTAAAACCTTGATTCCCCCACTACTGTGAGGCGACAGCAGCAACTGCATGCCATGAAACAGTTTGCTTTCTGACTTGGTTACACTACGAGAACAGACGGCCTGGGGACGAAATACCAGTTAGTATAGCTAAAATGGATAGAATTATCATTAAACCGCCCGCATGTTATCAAAAATGAGCGGGCCACTGTAACTTGATAATGCCCTCATATTGCTTGACGACGGGCCATTATCACGCCCGTTGTTAGGTGACGTCATAGGGTGGGATAGGTGACGTAACGTTCAATAGTGACGTCATCTGGTTTGTTTTCTGACGTTTCCATATTTGTAAAAGTGGGTCAGTGACATTCGTGTTGATTGCAGTAAATGTTTCCAAACCGATATTGTTTCTTTGTATCTTACAACAAATTCCATCCATTTTAGCTATAATAACGGTAACGCTATTTTTCAGGGTATTATCATTTGCAGAAGCCCTCGGTCTTTTCAACTGCCCCCTTTCGTCGGGCAGTGAATGAAAGACCTCGGGCTTCTGCAAATGATAATGCCCTGAAAAATAGTGTTACCCTTATAATAGAGCCACAGGTACCCTGGTATATTTGCACAAGTGGTTTGATGTTAACACAGTTACTCAATCTGTAAAGCAAGTCGTTATTATTGACAGCATCATTTAGATTCACTTACCGTTATGGCCCAGTCACACTACTATAAGAGTAACGCTATTTTTCAGGGCATTATGATTTGCAGAAGACCGAGGTCTTCCATTAACTGCCCGACGAAGGAGGGCAGTTGAAAAGACCGAGGGCTTCTGCAAATGATAATGCCCTGAAAAATAGCGTTACCGTTATTATAGCTAAAATGGACGGAATTTGTTATCAAATAAAAAGAAACAACAATGTCGATTTTGAAACATTTACTGCAATCAACACGAATGTCATTGACCCACTTTTACAAATATGGAAACCTCATAGAACAAACCAGATGACGTCACTATTGAACGTTACGTCACCTATCCCTATCCTATGACGTCACCTAACAACGGGCGTGATAATGGCCCGTCGTCAAGTAATATGAGGGCATTATCAAGTTACAGTGGCCCGCTCATTTCTGATAACATGCGGGCGTTTTTATGATAATTCTATCCATTTTAGCTATAAAATGTTTTAGAGCAAACTACACCTGGCGTGTAAAAGACAGTTATTACGCTGTCACGTCGAGCTTTCATCGAAAAGCCATGATTTTGGCGTATCCATAGCGTATACATAACGATATATGTAACGCATGTCTAACGTATTAGTAGCGTATCACTGATTTATACATAACTTATGACAGCATATAAAAGCATATTGCCAGCGTGTGTCTGGCATGTTCAACGTATGGACAGCGTATGCCCAGCGTATGAGTAGCGTATGACTAGCGCGCTCAGCGTAGGGGAAAGGTGCCTAAAACGGTGCACACCCAAATTACCACGGAAAGCGAGAGCAGTCTAGATAATTATGTAAAAGGTTCATACGTTCCCATGCGCCGAAAAAATTGTTTAAGCCTCGGCGTACTACAACGTATACCAGCGTGCTTTTAGCGTATACAACTTACACCTAACTTATCCATAGCGTGTGTCAGCGTTGCCGGCGTTTTGGTAAAAAACTCATACGTCGCCATGCGTCACTGCTAGACGTTGTAGTGTGACAGGGCCATAATACATTGATGATCACAGTTACGTTAGTTTCTGAATGAAGCAGTGGTGCTTATAGTTACACTATCTGAGTGTTCTACTTCCAGGCGGAGATGTTGCGGCAAAAATACATAGGAGACCTGCCAGTGAGTTCCAGCATGCACATTGCTTCCGAGGCTCTCTACGGGGTGTGTGTGGACACGCCTGGTGACGACACACATGTGGAGTACACAATTATCCCCCAGGAACACTTTTACGAGTTTATTCCGGAAGAACACGTTGATGAAGAACAGCCAGACACATTGCTGGCGACTGAGGTAGTACATTTAAAACTCAGTGAAACTGGCAAACATTACTGTATGTAGAAAATGATGGATATTGCATCCACCTGGAAATACTGAAGAGACGAACTAAACTTTGTCATACATTTGATTAAGAGCGCGTCCAAATTGTTAGTATTTCATAATACTTGATTTTAAAATCTAAAAAATACACCTTTGGGTTAATTCACGATTATTGAACGGGTCGGTATGAAATTAGATTGTGAATTTGTTCTATTTTTTGCCTTTAAACGCCTATCTCAAACTACCTGCAAAGTAGCCCACAAATCGTGACATAAATTCCACAGTAAAAGGACAAAATGTCCGTCTATGAATCATAGCCCTTGTTGCAATACATCAGGACTCGATATCCAGGGTTGGACATTGTGGGTTAGGAAACATTATATTACTCCTACTCCGAAATCCACACGGAGTATGCATTTTTTGTTAGATTGAGGTGTAAGTGTGTATGTGCGTTGTTAGATTGTGGTATAAGTGTGTATGTGTGTGATGTTAGATTGTGGTGTAAGTGTGTATGTGTGTTGTTAGATTGTGGTGTAAGTGTGTATGTGTGTTGTTAGATTGTGGTGTAAGTGTGTATGTGTGTTGTTAGCTTGAGGTGTGAGTGTGTATGTGTGTTGTTAGATTGAGGTGTGAGTGTGTATGTGTGTTGTTAGATTGTGGTGTAAGTGTGTATGTGCGTTGTTAGATTGAGGTGTAAGTGTGTATGTGCGTTGTTAGCTTGAGGTGTGAGTGTGTATGTGTGTTGTTAGATTGAGATGTAAGTATGTATGTGTGTGTTGTTAGATTAAGGTGTGTGTGTGTTGTTAGATTGAGGTGTAAGTATGTATGTGTGTTGTTAGCTTGAGGTGTAAGTGTGTATGTGTGTTGTTAGCTTGAGGTGTGAGTGTGTATGTGTGTTGTTAGATTGAGGTGTAAGTATGTATGTGTGTGTTGTTAGATTAAGGTGTGTGTGTGTTGTTAGATTGAGGTGTAAGTGTGTATGTGTGTGATGTTAGATTGAGGTGTAAGTGTGTATGTGTGTTGTTAGCTTGAGGTGTGAGTGTGTATGTGTGTTGTTAGATTGAGGTGTAAGTATGTATGTGTGTGTTGTTAGATTAAGGTGTGTGTGTGTTGTTAGATTGAGGTGTAAGTGTGTATGTGTGTGATGTTAGATTGAGGTGTAAGTATGTATGTGTGTGTTGTTAGATTGAGGTGTATGTGTGTTGTTAGATTGAGGTGTAAGTGTGTATGTGTGTGTCGTTAGATTGAGGTGTAAGTGTGTATGTGTGTTGTTAGATTGAGGTGTAAGTGTGTATGTGTGTGATGATAGATTGAGGTGTAAGTGTGTATGTGTGTGATGTTAGATTGATGTGTAAGTGTGTATGTGTGTTGTTAGAGTGAGTGTGTATGTGTGTGATGTTAGATTGAGGTTTACGTGTGTGTGTGCGTTGTTAGATTGTAGTATAAGTGTGTATGTGTGTGTTGTTAGATTGAGGTGTAAGTATGTATGTATGTGTTGTTAGATTGAGGTGTATGTGTGTTGTTAGATTGAGGTGTAAGTATGTATGTGTGTGTTGTTAGATTCAGGTGTAAGTGTGTATGTGTGTTGTTAGATTGAGGTGTAAGTGTGTATGTGTGTGATGTAAGATTGAGGTGTAAGTGTGTATGTGTGTGATGTTAGATTGAGGTGTAAGTGTGTATGTGCGTTGTTAGATTGTAGTATAAGTGTGTATGTGTGTGATGCTAGATTAAAGTGTAAGTATGTATGTGTGTTGTTAGATTGTGGTGTAAGTGTGTATGTGCGATGTTAGATTGTGGTGTAAGTGTGTATGTGTGTGATGTTAGATTGAGGTGTGAGTGTGTAAGTGTGTGATGATAGATTGAGGTGTAAGTGTGTATGTGTGTGATGTTAGATTGATGTGTAAGTGTGTATGTGCGTTGTTAGATTGTAGTATAAGTGTGTATGTGTGTGTTGTTAGATTGAGGTGTAAGTATGTATGTATGTGTTGTTAGATTGAGGTGTATGTGTGTTGTTAGATTGAGGTGTAAGTATGTATGTGTGTGTTGTTAGATTGAGGTGTAAGTGTGTATGTGTGTGATGCTAGATTGAGGTGTAAGTATGTATGTGTGTTGTTAGATTGTTGTGTAAGTGTGTATGTGCGATGTTAGATTGTGGTGTAAGTGTGTATGTGTGTGATGTTAGATTGAGGTGTAAGTGTGTATGTGCGTTGTTAGATTGTGGTGTAAGTGTGTATGTGTGTTATATTAGATTGAGGTGTAAGTGTGTATGTGTGTGATGTTAGATTGAGGTGTGAGTGTGTATGTGTGTTGTTAGCTTGAGGTGTGAGTGTGTATGTGTGATGTTAGATTGTGGTGTAAGTGTGTATATGTGTGATGTTAGATTGAGGTGTAAGTGTGTATGTGCGTTGTTAGATTGAGGTGTAAGTGTGTATGTGCGTTGTTAGATTGTGGTGTAAGTGTGTATGTGTGTTGTTAGATTGAGGTGTGAGTGTGTAAGTGTGTGATGTTAGATTGAGGTGTGAGTGTGTATGTGTGTTGTTAGATTGAGGTGTGAGTGTGTATGTGTGTGATGTTAGATTGAGGTGTTAGTGTGTATGTGTGTTGTTAGATTGAGGTGTAAGTGTGTATGTGTGTTGTTAGAGTGAGTGTGTATGTGTGATGTTAGATTGAGGTGTGAGTGTGTATGTGTGTTGTTAGATTGAGGTGTGAGTGTGAAAGTGTGTGATGTTAGATTGAGGTGTGAGTGTGTATGTGTTTGATGTTAGATTGAGGTGTTAATGTGTATGTGTGTTGTTAGATTGAGGTGTAAGTGTGTATGTGTGTTGTTAGATTAATGTGTGAGTGTGTATGTGTGTGATGTTAGATTGAGGTGTGAGTGTGTATGTGTGTTGTTAGATTGAGCTGTGAGTGTGTATGTGTGTGATGTTAGATTGAGGTGTGAGTGTGTATGTGTGTTGTTAGATTGAGGTGTGAGTGTGAAAGTGTGTGATGTTAGATTGAGGTGTGAGTGTGTATGTGTGTGATGTTAGATTGCGGTGTAAGTGTGTGTGTGTATTGTTAGATTGAGGTGTGAGTGTGAAAGTGTGTGATGTTAGATTGAGGTGTGAGTGTGTATGTGTGTGATGTTAGATTGAGGTGAAAGTGTGTAAGTGTGTGATTAGATTGAGGTGTTAGTGTGTATGTGTGTTGTTAGATTGAGGTGTAAGTGTGTATGTGTGTTATCAGATTGAGGTGTACATAGTTCAAGAAGGTGCTGCTTACATTCAAGGTTGAAGCAGGGAAGAAGTACGAGATCGTGGTCACAACTAGAACGGGTCTGTACAGATACAGAAGTCAGGACCTGGTAGAAATTGCAGGCTTCACTGAGACAGCGCCGAAATACAGGTTTTGCCAGAGGTAGGGATGTGTGTGTCTGATAATAGCAACACGTACGTTATGTTTCTATAGAGCTTGTCCAACCAACGCGTGTCCTTTTGCGTACAATTAAGACTCCCTGAGGAGTATACGACCCAATGTTGCCTTCGGGCGCTAAAACGTTATACAGTCACATTTCATCTCATTCTATCGGGTACCCATTCACTGCTGGATGAATATAATTACATATCGAGCTGTGCCACATGTCCACGGATGCAACACATTTGAAATATCTCGTGTTAACGTCGTGTCCTAAACTCAGGAATCAAGATTGACTATTTCAGTCGCCCATCAATCATCCATAATACTTTCTTTTATCCTGCAAATATGTCCGTCAAACACTTGTCTGCTGTTGATTTCAAGGTTTTATTTAGCGTTTGCTGTGAATTGAATCTTTTTTTAAAATTTCGTATTAATTATTGCAGAACTGGAGAGTGCCTAAGTGCAAATGTTGACAAATATACAGTGCAGGTGTTTGACGCAGCTATGAAAATGGCTCAGTTGAAATGGCATGGCAGAATGGAGGATTACATGGCAACTGAAAACATAATCATTGCCAAAATAAACGGTGAGTGGATTTCTAATTAAACACCATTTTCGTGTTTATCATTGAAGAAAAATACTGATTGTCTTCAGCAATAACCATAACAGTCGATCGTTAATATTCCACGGAACTAGTGACTAACATTCTGATGCTATTGCAAATTGATCTGCAGGTAATTAGCGTATGGTTTAATCGGAACATCTCTATGCTGTATGAGGAACCGACCGCCCGATAGATGTTGGGCGGTGTATATGTTGGCTGGTTTGTTTGTTGTTGTTTTACGCCGCACTCAGCAATATACCAGCTATATGAAGGCGGGCTGTAAATAGTCGAGTCTGGACCAGACAATCCAGTGATTGATATCATGACCATGGATCCACGCAATTGGGATTGATGACATGCATCAACCAAGTCAGCGAGCCTGACCACCCGATCCCGTTAGTCGCCTCTTACGACAAGCATAGTCGCCTTTTACGGCAAGCATGAGTTGCTGAAGACCTATTCTACCCCGGATCCTCACGGGTCCGTATAAATGTAGTGCAATGTTATTGAAATGAGTTTATTCAGTAAGGGGGCCACCGGCCCATTATACAAAGCACCTATCGCATTGAATTTCATCAGAGCACGGTAACAGTATATGGTAGCATAATCACACTAGTCATATATGCATGTCGAGGTACTTTTGTCTGTTTTTAAATGCTAAAAATATATATTGGGGCAAATGGTTTAAAATAAACTACGGTTATAACGAAGTCAAAGGGACCACTAATTCTAGTCCGTTATAACCGTAGTTCCTTAGAAGTATATATACAGCACATATACAGCAAATAAGACTAAAAATAAGTTCGTTATATCCGTCAGTTCGTTATAAGCGTGTTCGTCATAAACGTAGTTTACTGTATTTCAATTGGATTTGATGATGTCTTAACATTTTATCTTGTGATAGGTTTACACAGAAGTAGCATGGACATATTACCTTTGACTTTAATAAAGGGACACTCCATGCAAACGTGTTGGTGCATTCTGAGTTTCGCTAGAATCTTATAAAAATATATGTTAGTGCAGCTGCAAATATATACACTTATGTAATACTGCACCAACAACACATTTTGTGTACCAAGACATCCAATGCAAATATGTTTGTATATTTTGTATTTTTCACGATTGTTTTATCGGACACGAAAACAACCACAACAAAGAACCATAAAAGTTGTTGTTCCCTAAAATACACAGTCATTGTGTCTTAAGAAGACGTCCTCGTGATAAAGTGTTGTCTGAAACATGATCCTCACACATACATTTGGCCCCAGGGACAGTGCCCACGAAGTGGTTCTACTACGTGTTCGTGGAACTGGAGGACGAAGATATTATCATTACAGAAGATGAAAAGAAGAAGGTGAGTCACTATAACAACCCACATGTTTATGTGTTGGCATATGTCGGCCGTCCCTGGCTGATGTGATCTTTACTGTCTAGAATCCCACATGTTGTGTGTTGTGCGTATGTCGGCCCTTCCTGGCTGGTGTGGTGTGTACAGTCTAGAATCTCACATGTTGTGTTGTGCGTATGTCGGCAATACCTGGCTGTTGTGGTGTGTACAGTCTAGAAACCCACATGTTGTGTTGTGCGTATGTCGGCAATACCTGGCTGTTGTGGTGTGTACAGCCTAGAAACCCGAATGTTGTGTGTTGTGCGTAGGTCGGCCCTTCCTGGCTGTTGTGGTGTGTACAGCCTAGAAACTCACATGTTGTGTGCTGTGCGTATGTCGGCCCTTCCTGGCTGGTGTGGTGTGTACAGTCTAGAAACCCACATGTTGTGTGTTGTGCGTATGTCGGCCCTTCCTGGCTGTTGTGGTGTGTACAGTCTAGAAACCCACATGTTCTGTGCTGTGCGTATGTCGGCCCTTCCTGGCTGTTGTGGTGTGTACAGTCTAGAATCCCACATGTTGTGTGTTGTGCCCTTCCTGGCTGTTGTGGTGTGTACAGTCTAGAATCCCACATGTTGTGTGTTGTGCGTATGTCGGCAATACCTGGCTGTTGTGGTGTGTACAGTCTAGAAACCCACATGTTCTGTGCTGTGCGTATGTCGGCCCTTCCTGGCTGTTGTGGTGTGTACAGTCTAGAAACCCACATGTTGTGTGTTGTGCGTATGTCGGCAATACCTGGCTGGTGTGTTGTGTACAGTCTAGAAACCCACATGTTGTGTGCTGTGCGTATGTCGGCCCTTCCTGGCTGGTGTGATGTGTACAGTCTAGAAACCCACATGTTGTGTGCTGTGCGTATGTCGGCAATACCTGACTGTTGTGTTGTGTACAGTCTAGAAACCCACATGTTGTGTGTTGTGCGTATGTCGGCCCTTCCTGGCTGGTGTGATGTGTACAGTCTAGAAACCCACATGTTGTGTGCTGTGCGTATGTCGGCCCTTCCTGGCTGGTGTGGTGTGTACAGTCTAGAAACCCACATGTTGTGTGTTGTGCGTATGTCGGCCCTTCCTGGCTGGTGTGGTGTGTACAGTCTAGAAACCCACATGTTGTGTGTTGTGCGTATGTCGGCAATACCTGGCTGTTGTGGTGTGTACAGTCTAGAATCCCACATGTTGTGTGTTGTGCGTATGTCGGCCATACCTGGCTGTTGTGGTGTGTACAGTCTAGAATCCCACATGTTGTGTGTTGTGCGTATGTCGGCTATACCTGGCTGTTGTGGTGTGTACAGTCTAGAAACCCACATGTTGTGTGTTGTGCGTATGTCGGCCATACCTTGCTAATGTGATGTGTACAGTCTAGAAACCCACATGTTGTGTGTTGTGCGTATGTCGGCTATACCTGGCTGTTGTGGTGTGTACAGTCTAGAAACCCACATGTTGTGTTGTGCGTATGTCGGCAATACCTGGCTGTTGTGGTGTGTACAGCCTAGAAACCCACATGTTGTGTGTTGTGCGTATGTCGGCCCTTCCTGGCTGTTGTGGTGTGTACAGCCTAGAAACTCACATGTTGTGTGCTGTGCGTATGTCGGCCCTTCCTGGCTGTTGTGGTGTGTACAGTCTAGAATCCCACATGTTGTGTGTTGTGCGTATGTCGGCCCTTCCTGGCTGTTGTGGTGTGTACAGTCTAGAAACCCACATGTTCTGTGCTGTGCGTATGTCGGCCCTTCCTGGCTGTTGTGGTGTGTACAGTCTAGAATCCCACATGTTGTGTGTTGTGCGTATGTCGGCCCTTCCTGGCTGTTGTGGTGTGTACAGTCTAGAATCCCACATGTTGTGTGTTGTGCGTATGTCGGCAATACCTGGCTGTTGTGGTGTGTACAGTCTAGAAACCCACATGTTCTGTGCTGTGCGTATGTCGGCCCTTCCTGGCTGTTGTGGTGTGTACAGTCTAGAAACCCACATGTTGTGTGTTGTGCGTATGTCGGCAATACCTGGCTGGTGTGTTGTGTACAGTCTAGAAACCCACATGTTGTGTGCTGTGCGTATGTCGGCCCTTCCTGGCTGGTGTGATGTGTACAGTCTAGAAACCCACATGTTGTGTGCTGTGCGTATGTCGGCAATACCTGACTGTTGTGTTGTGTACAGTCTAGAAACCCACATGTTGTGTGTTGTGCGTATGTCGGCCCTTCCTGGCTGGTGTGATGTGTACAGTCTAGAAACCCACATGTTGTGTGCTGTGCGTATGTCGGCCCTTCCTGGCTGGTGTGGTGTGTACAGTCTAGAAACCCACATGTTGTGTGTTGTGCGTATGTCGGCCCTTCCTGGCTGGTGTGGTGTGTACAGTCTAGAAACCCACATGTTGTGTGTTGTGCGTATGTCGGCAATACCTGGCTGTTGTGGTGTGTACAGTCTAGAATCCCACATGTTGTGTGTTGTGCGTATGTCGGCCATACCTGGCTGTTGTGGTGTGTACAGTCTAGAATCCCACATGTTGTGTGTTGTGCGTATGTCGGCTATACCTGGCTGTTGTGGTGTGTACAGTCTAGAAACCCACATGTTGTGTGTTGTGCGTATGTCGGCCATACCTTGCTAATGTGATGTGTACAGTCTAGAAACCCACATGTTGTGTGTTGTGCGTATGTCGGCTATACCTGGCTGTTGTGGTGTGTACAGTCTAGAAACCCACATGTTGTGTTGTGCGTATGTCGGCCCTTCCTGGCTGTTGTGATGTGTACAGTCTAGAATCCCACATGTTGTGTGCTGTGCGTATGTCGGCCCTTCCTGCCTGGTATGGTGTGTACAGTCTAGAAACCCACATGTTGTGTGCTGTGCGTATGTCGGCAATACCTTGCTGGTGTGATGTGTACAGTCTAGAAACCTACATGTTGTGTGCTGTGCGTATGTCGGCAATACCTGGCTGTTGTGGTGTGGACAGTCTAGAAACCCACATGTTGTGTGTTGTGCGTATGTCGGCCCTTCCTGGCTGTTGTGATGTGTACAGTCTAGAAACCCACATGTTGTGTGTTGTGCGTATGTCGGCAATACCTGGCTGGTGTGGTGTGTACAGTCTAGAAACCCACATGTTGTGTGTTGTGCGTATGTCGGCCATACCTTGCTTATGTGATGTGTACAGTCTAGAAACTCACATGTTGTGTGTTGTGCGTATGTCGGCCCTTCCTGGCTGTTGTGATGTGTACAGTCTAGAAACTCACATGTTGTGTGTTGTGCGTATGTCGGCCCTATCGATCCTGGCTGTTGTGATGTGTACAGTCTAGAAACCCACATGTTGTGTGTTGTGCGTATGTCGGCAATACCTTGCTGTTGTGGTGTGTACAGCCTAGAAACCCACATGTTGTGTGCTGTGCGTATGTCGGCCCTTCCTGGCTGTTGTGGTGTGGACAGTCTAGAAACCCACATGTTGTGTTGTGCGTATGTCGGCCCTTCCTGGCTGTTGTGATGTGTACAGTCTAGAAACCGACATGTTATGTGTTGTGCGTATGTCGGCCCTTCCTGGCTGTTGTGATGTGTACAGTCTAGAAACCCACATGTTGTGTGTTGTGCGTATGTCGGTCCTTCCTGGATGTTGTGGTGTGTACAGTCTAGAAACCCACATGTTGTGTGCTATGCGTATGTCGGCCCTTCCTGGCTGTTGTGGTGTGGACAGTCTAGAAACCCACATGTTGTGTTGTGCGTATGTCGGCCCTTCCTGGCTGTTGTGGTGTGTACAGTCTAGAAACCCACATGTTGTGTGTTGTGCGTATGTCGGCCCTTCCTGGCTGTTGTGATGTGTACAGTCTAGAAACCCACATGTTGTGTGCTGTGCGTATGTCGGCAATACCTGGCTGTTGTGATGTGTACAGTCTAGAAACCCACATGTTGTGTGTTGTGCGTATGTCGGCAATACCTGGCTGTTGTGATGTGTACAGTCTAGAAACCCACATGTTGTGTGCTGTGCGTATGTCGGCAATACCTGGCTGTTGTGGTGTGTACAGTCTAGAAACCCACATGTTGTGTGTTGTGCGTATGTCGGCCCTTCCTGGCTGTTGTGATGTGTACAGTCTAGAAACCCACATGTTGTGTGCTGTGCGTATGTCGGCAATACCTGGCTGTTGTGATGTGTACAGTCTAGAAACCCACATGTTGTGTGTTGTGCGTATGTCGGCAATACCTGGCTGTTGTGATGTGTACAGTCTAGAAACCCACATGTTGTGTGCTGTGCGTATGTCGGCAATACCTGGCTGTTGTGGTGTGTACAGTCTAGAAACCCACATGTTGTGTTGTGCGTATGTCGGCCCTTCCTGGCTGTTGTGATGTGTACAGTCTAGAAACCCACATGTTGTGTGTTGTGCGTATGTCGGCAATACCTGGCTGTTGTGGTGTGGACAGTCTAGAAACCCACATGTTGTGTGCTGTGCGTATGTCGGCCCTTCCTGGCTGTTGTGATGTGTACAGTCTAGAATCCCACATGTTGTGTGTTGTGCGTATGTCGGCCCTTTCTGGATGTTGTGGTGTGTACAGTCTAGAATTCCACATGTTGTGTGCTGTGCGTATGTCGGCAATACCTTGCTGGTGTGATGTGTACAGTCTAGAAACCCACATGTTGTGTGTCGTGCGTATGTCGGCCCTTCCTGGCTGTTGTGATGTGTACAGTCTAGAAACCCACATGTTGTGTGCTGTGCGTATGTCGGCCATACCTTGCTGTTGTGATGTGTACAGCCTAGAAACCCACATGTTGTGTGTCGTGCGTATGTCGGCAATACCTGGCTGTTGTGATGTGTACAGTCTAGAAGCCCACATGTTGTGTGCTGTGCGTATGTCGGCCATACCTTGCTAATGTGATGTGTACAGTCTAGAAACCCACATGTTGTGTGCTGTGCGTATGTCGGCCCTTCCTGGCTGTTGTGATGTGTACAGTCTAGAAACCCACATGTTGTGTGCTGTGCGTATGTCGGCCCTTCCTGGCTGTTGTGATGTGTACAGTCTAGAAACCCACATGTTGTGTGCTGTGCGTATGTCGGCCCTTCCTGGCTGTTGTGATGTGTACAGTCTAGAAACCCACATGTTGTGTGTTGTGCGTATGTCGGCAATACCTTGCTGTTGTGGTGTGTACAGTCTAGAAACTCACATGTTGTGTGTTGTGCGTATGTCGGCAATACCTGGCTGTTGTGTTGTGTACAATCTAGAAACCCACATGTTGTGTGTTGTGCGTATGTCGGCCCTTCCTGGCTGTTGTGGTGTGTACAGTCTAGAAACCCACATGTTGTGTGTTGTGCGTATGTCGGCAATACCTGGCTGTTGTGGTGTGTACAGTCTAGAATCCCACATGTTGTGTGCTGTGCGTATGTCGGCCCTTCCTGGCTGTTGTGGTGTGTACAGTCTAGAAACCCACATGTTGTGTGTTGTGCGTATGTCGGCAATACCTGGCTGTTGTGATGTGTACAGTCTAGAATCCCACATGTTGTGTGCTGTGCGTATGTCGGCCCTTCCTGGCTGTTGTGGTGTGTACAGTCTAGAAACCCACATGTTGTGTGTTGTGCGTATGTCGGCCCTTCCTGGCTGTTGTGATGTGTACAGTCTAGAAACCCACATGTTGTGTGTTGTGCGTATGTCGGCAATACCTGGCTGTTGTGGTGTGTACAGTCTAGAATCCCACATGTTGTGTGCTGTGCGTATGTCGGCCCTTCCTGGCTGTTGTGGTGTGTACAGTCTAGAAACCCACATGTTGTGTGTTGTGCGTATGTCGGCAATACCTGGCTGTTGTGATGTGTACAGTCTAGAATCCCACATGTTGTGTGCTGTGCGTATGTCGGCCCTTCCTGGCTTTTGTGGTGTGTACAGTCTAGAAACCCACATGTTGTGTGCTGTGCGTATGTCGACTATACGTGGATGTTGTGGTGTGTACAGTCTAGAAACTCACATGTTGTGTGCTGTGCGTATGTCGGCCCTTCCTGGCTGTTGTGGTGTGTACAGTCTAGAAACCCACATGTTGTGTGCTGTGCGTATGTCGGCCCTTCCTGGCTGTTGTGGTGTGTACAGTCTAGAAACTCACATGTTGTGTGCTGTGCGTATGTCGACTATATGTGGATGTTGTGGTGTGTGTACAGTCTAGAAACTCACATGTTGTGTGTTGTGCGTATGTCGGCCCTTCCTGGCTGTTGTGGTGTGTACAGTCTAGAAACTCACATGTTGTGTGCTGTGCGTATGTCGGCAATACCTGGCTGTTGTGTTGTGTGTACAGTCTAGAAACTCACATGTTGTGTGTTGTGCGTATGTCGGCCCTTCCTGGCTGTTGTGATGTGTACAGTCTAGAAACCCACATGTTGTGTGTTGTGCGTATGTCGGCCCTTCCTGGCTGTTGTGGTGTGTACAGTCTAGAAACCCACATGTTGTGTGCTGTGCGTATGTCGACTATACGTGGATGTTGTGGTGTGTACAGTCTAGAAACCCACATGTTGTGTGTTGTGCGTATGTCGGCAATACCTGGCTGTTGTGATGTGTACAGTCTAGAAACCCACATGTTGTGTTGTGCGTATGTCGGCCCTTCCTGGCTGTTGTGGTGTGTACAGTCTAGAAACTCACATGTTGTGTGTTGTGCGTATGTCGGCCCTTCCTGGCTGTTGTGGTGTGTACAGTCTAGAAACTCACATGTTGTGTGTTGTGCGTATGTCGGCCCTTCCTGGCTGTTGTGGTGTGTACAGTCTAGAAACCCACATGTTGTGTGCTGTGCGTATGTCGGCCCTTCCTGGCTGTTGTGTTGTGTGTACAGTCTAGAAACTCACATGTTGTGTGCTGTGCGTATGTCGGCCCTTCCTGGCTGTTGTGGTGTGTACAGTCTAGAAACCCACATGTTGTGTGTCGTGCGTATGTCGACTATACGTGGATGTTGTGGTGTGTACAGTCTAGAAACCCACGTGTTGTGTGTTGTGCGTATGTCGGCCCTTCCTGGCTGTTGTGGTGTGTACAATCCTAGGGTGTAAATCATTCCTCATGAAGAACAACCTTTATAGCGTGGTAAGGGCCCCTGTTGGGAGAGCGGAAAGTCAGTGGTTCCCTTCTGTGGCCGTATTATATAATTTAAAAAAAAAAGATGATAGTTGCTTTTTGCCTACCTGGTGCGCGACAGTAGGGAGACAAAACAAGGACTGGTTGGCTCTCAGTCAGTGAGAATGTGTCTGAGTTGGGTATACATGTTAAAACTACGGCATGGTATCTCGTGTGTATGTATGTGAAATAGTCTTTACCATGACGTTAAGCCCCATTTCACCTCACCTCACCGCTGCTCGTAAATATCAATCCAGAGTTGTATCCTCCGGTGTCGGTTATCGCCTTTATGTGGCTGGAATGTTGCTGAGTCGGCGTAAAAAAACAAACAAACAAGAGAAAGCAAACCAAGCGTTTTCCGAGTCACATCGCTGTCGCTGTTGCAGGTTGGCGAATGTCTACTGGCCTGCAACGAGGACTATAAAGAGGTCCACGGCTATGGAGGGGTTGTAGATCCCGAGGTGATACAGGTGAAAAGGGGCACTTTCAAACAAGCCAGACGTCTCATCTTGAGTCTGAACCCTGATGCTTCCAGCAGCCAATACAAGCCAGTCAGGTTCATGCGAAATGTTCCCGTACTCCGCTATCTCCTCCAACATACCCAAGATCAACACAACGAACAGGAAGCTCATCAAAAGTAAGTCTTTTGTGTGCTCGACTCACATGAGACAAATGAACTGATTCCCAACAGAGCCTCCACGATGCACAGTATAGAATGAAATGCAATTATAGAAATTTGCTGAAATTGCAACAATCTTTTATTCAGCATAGTTCCTTTTTAGAAAACAAGCTCTTTTCTTTTAAGACAAATAATGTTTGATATAGAAGAATTTATCGCAATGTCTTATTCTTTACAACAACAAGAACTACTACTATTACTATTACCACTAAGAATAATAATCTATGGTACTGTCTAATTCTTTGTAGAAAACTATTTCTTTTTGCATTGACTGCTACTAGTACTACTACTACTACTACTACTACTACTACTACTACTACTACTACCACTACTACTACTACTTCTACTACCACCACCACCAACAACAAGAACTACTACTGCTGCCGTTACTACTGATAATAATAACAATGATAAATATAATAATAAAAATCAGAAATGTCGATAATTATATTTTTTTATAATTTGCAACACATTTCACAGTGACGTGATAACAGTCCGACTAGAAACCCTGCACTATGCTATAGTTTGATAAATATACTCACACGCAAAAGAAACGCAAGTCGAGTATGCAGTATACATGTTATTTATTTTCAACACTTAAGACAAGAAATACTAATAGGGCAAGATTGACAAAAATTTGACTGAAGACAGTTTAATGGATTAAAAGGCAGATGACATAATTGTTTTTTTCAAATGTTAAGGGCTTACACAGTTTTGGGTCAATGCCCAAAATGTCAGTCAATACCTGGTGTGACCACCATTAGCATTGATCACTGCCACACATCTCCTGTACATTGAGTGGATCAGACGATTTGTGAAGGCCCTAGGGATCCTCCTGCACACATCCAGAGCAGCTGTGTGTAGGTCATCGGCAGTTGTAGGGACTGGGCGCACATTGTGCAGACGCCTTTGAACCTCATCCCACAAGTGTTCGATGGGGTTCAGATCAGGGCTGAGGGCTGGCCACGGTAGAACACAGATGTTATGTTGTTGCAGAAAGGCCAAGGTAGCTCTGGCAACATGGGGACGAGCGTTGTCCTGCTAGAAAATGTGTTGTTGATGTTGTTCAAAAAATGGAACAACGTGGGGTCTGATCACTTGGTCGATATACCGCTAGACACTATGTACAATCCATTTATTTGACCATTTTTGATTATTGTTGACATATTTGGGACAACTGTTCTAATGAACAAGCTAACGTTTTGGAAAAAAATTACACTGAGATGCTCTAAGAACCATATGTGGCGCTGTCCGGGATACGAGTCATCAGAAGATTTACAATGAAACAAATTGTAAGTCATTAAAAGACAGAAGATACAATCGGTAATGTTTTACAAAATGAATAACCATTTATCCCCGAATATCTTGTTGGCGTATTTCTAATACAATTCCTAATAACATAAGCTATGACTTAAGGGGTAAAACTAATCTTCAAACAGTGAAGTGTAAAACAAAAGCTTATGCAGATTCATTTATACCAGCTACAACACAACTTTGGAATATGTTACCAGAAAACCTAACGGGGACAGAGACCGTTACACAATTTAAGAATTTGCTTCACGTAAAGGGAGATAATGGTATACTCTAGGATTAAAATTATGGTTGGTTGGTTGGTTTGTTGTTTTACGACGCACTCAGCAATATTCCAGCTATATGACGGCGGTCTGTAAATAATCGAGTCTGGACCAGACAATCCAGTGATTAATTTCATGAACATCTATCACCGCATTTGGGATCGATGACATGCATCAACCAAGTCAGCGAGCCTGACCCCCCGATCCCGTTAGTCGCCTCTCACGACAAGCATAGTCGCCTTTTACGGCAAGCATGGGTTGCTGAAGACCTAGTCTACCCCAGATCTTCGCGGGTCTTATATTTAAATAATAGAAGCAGATTATGTCAAATCATTCACAGTCGCCCAGGCTTGGCTGCAGCGATCTTAACGCAGATCAGTATTATGATAGATATATCTTGGACACAAAACCTTGTTCCTGTGGATATCATACCGAAGATGCCCTACACTTCTTTTTTGTGTGTACAAATTAACTATGAGCTTTGAAATGAAATGTGTATTTACCAACATGATTATTCTTTACAAACAGTGTTATGCGGAAATTCGTATTTGAGTAAGGATGAGCAAATATTAATATTAGATTAAATTCAAAACTTTATATTGAAAACTGCCACATTTTCAGTTAAATGAACAGTTTAATATAAACTGCAAATATATTTATTATATATACACATCTAGCTTGGCATGTACAATTCATTTGTTACATCTAACCTTCATTGATTTATTTATTGCAATATGTCCTATTTTCCACTTTTCACACTTTTGTGTAAATATATATTATGCTTAAACAACATGTGCAGGTACACGTGCGCGTATTTTATGAAAAAAACCAATTCGTCTTTCATTGCACAAAGTCTGGCTGAATATCTCACATTCAAACGACTGTCTAGACACCTTACTAACACAATGTTCGGCGAAAAGGGATTTCATAGAAGGGGTAGACTCAGTTCGTGAGAGACATGTGATTGACTTTGTGACAAATGCACATGACCGCCGCTTCACTGACTTTTTCATAGATCCAGCTACTGTATCCTGAACGGAAGGCAGCAAATCTCAAATGACTGTACATACATATCAACAAGTGGCGCTTCAGTCGTCGACCACCGCCTCATACCACATGAGAACTTGGAGATTATAGACAGTGTAGGGTATTATGCCCTTCTCTTCTTGCCAGCACCGTACGACTAGTGGCGCTTCAGTCGTCGACCACCCCCTCATATCACATGAGAACTTGGACGATTATAGACAGCGTGGGGTATGATGCCCTTCTCTTCTTGCCAGTACCGCATGACTAGTGGAGAGCACAGCAACACCTACATGACCGGTGTGACTTAGTAACGCTGATAAGTCTCATGTTGTATATGTAGCGGCCATAAAATTTCCGAGTCCCGTGATGGGATTCGAACCACGGACCTTCTGAACCGAGGTCGGACGCCTTGTCCACATGACCAAAGAGGTTAACCCCGTCAGCAAGCTTACAAGGTAAGGATGTCGTCTGTGGGATGACTCTACGCCCTGCTACATATAGTTTAGAAATCCTAGCGTCTCCAAAACTACACAACAGGTTTGTATTGGTAGTTCGTCTTTAAGTATTGTTAACTTAAGTATTGAACATCTTGATTATAACACAATGACAAAGACTGCGGCCAGATCAGCTAACAGAGCTTTAGGCCTACATATTTATAGGAATAAGACAATAGGAGGTATGCAGTTTAGCACTTTTACTGTGTTATATGACTTTACGCGTACGGCGCATCTGTTTGGGGTAACCGTGATGTATCTGCTGTTACAGCTGTAGACCACCGTGCCATCAGGTTTTTTCTGGGGGTGGGTAGATATGCACCTGATTTGGCTCTTAATGGGGATACAGGGTGGATACCTCCGATTGTCAGACAGTGGATATGTATAGCTAGACAGTGGTATCGTTTTAGAAATATGCCTGATCGATTAAATAAACTTGTTTTTTTTATTGGCGGAAAGGCTTTCCGCCAATCACAAGTACTGGGTTTCACGTTTTTCGTCAAAATTGGCCAACCTAAACATACAGCATATTTTCAAGATCTACAGTCTGGTTTAAATACAGAAGATATTTCAAGCAAAATACAAGATGTCCTTCTGGGAAAAAAATATCTGAAAAGCTGGCAGAAACTTCAGTGGAAAGATAATGATTATACTGGTACAAGTAAACTCCGTACATGCAGGATTTTTAAAGATTGTTATTGCTGTGAAAACTATGTCAAGAGTTTTATGCCCCTGAGTTAAAGATCTGCCTTTACAAAATTTAGATGTGGTATTGCTCCTTTAAGGATCGAAACAGGCAGATATATTACTTAAAGGTTGAAGACAGAGTGTACTTTAATTGTAACGATCATCTTGGAGATGAAAAACATAATTCGAATGTCCACTATACGATGATCTAAGATCTACATTATTCACGGGTATAACGGCTAAAATGTCCAACTTTTAAAACCTATCAAACAATGAGAAATTGTGTGTCCTTTTTAACATGAGGTATATGTCACTGCCAAAATCTGCTTTTTAATATTACAACGCAGAAAGCTATTGCTTTATGGGTAAAACGTTTTCTTTATCTGTATATATCATCGAGTTCTGTGCATTGTCTCTCATAACTTTATATATGAGTGGCGCTGTATTCTTATTTGTATGTACCAACGTCTATTTTATGCATGGTTTATTAAGATGTACAGCGGTGATATCTGTATACGTCCCATTAACCACACTGGGCATTTAAGTAACACCAGGTGTGCGATATATAGGTACACGTACCCGCATTTTATGAACAAAAACCGTTTCGTCTTTGAATATCTGAATATCTCACATTCTAACGAAATCTCGAAATACATATTTTATTTTATGCGGTGTCGAACTGACCAATGGGAATTGTGTTTAAAGCCGATTGAGGAAGACTTGAGTGAATATGATGACACCAATGCAACTTTGAAATGCATTGCCACTCTTGGTATGAAAGAAATGGGAACGGTCCCGAAAAAAACAACAGCCTTCTTATGATAATTCCCATATTCTCATTACTATGTTGTATGTAATTACAGTGTCGGCCTTATTTACAGGTGAGTCTACAATACTGGCTCTCGTTCAATTACAATCCGCCACACCACACGTGAATAAACACTTGCTGTGGGCAAATACCCAGCCTGTATATATATATATATTGAACAACAAAAGTTCCCGTCACATTGAATAAGATTTAATGCCAAGTTATGTTTTTTTTACCAAATCTGAAACAATTTCGGTTTGCAACAGATAAAAGACTCCTGTAAGTGTTCAAATGGTTTAATTTGCCATACTGACTTCAGAAAATGCGTGATTTCATAAAAAAAACATGAACATGTCAGTTTACAAATCAATAGCGTGTGTGTCCACCTCCGGTTGCGATGCAAGCAACACATCGTCGTCTCATGGAATGGACCAGGCGTCGCACAAAGTCCTGTGGGATATCTGTCCATATGTGATGGAGCATGTTTCGAAGTTCCTGGAGTTTCTGTGGAACACGTTGTTGACGTCGAAGGCGCCGATCCATCTCATCCCACATGTGCTCGATTGGTGAGAGATCAGGGGAGCGAACCGGTGTCCCGGTATAAACTCTCCCCCGTACAAATTCTCCCCCCGGAGATTTTATACCGGTACAGATTCTCCCCCGAAGAATCTGTTCTGAAATAAAATCTCCCCCGGGCGGATATGTTTCGCGCCCCACTCAGTATAAAGTCTCCCCCCTGATTATTCGGTTTGTTGCAATGTCTTTAACTACTATATTCTTTAAATAGTTATCTTTAATGTAAGGAGGGTTACTTTAAAAAATAGATTTTGAAGTATGGTCATAATGAATTGATATTTCAGCATATTTTATTTGGTAACTGTACCTTCCATCCTAAAATAGTTATAAGACATAATCATACCAAACACATTTGAATGAAATGACTTAATGTAACAAATACATGTACGGTTACTGTTGTAACAGAATTCAGAAATCTTATTAATCCTCGCAAACATTCGGTTTTAACACTAACTACGTAAAAACTGTCAACATATCCAGGCGCGCCTC